TTTTTTTTTTGCGGTACGCGGGCCTCTCACTGTTGTGGCCTCTCCCGTTGCGGAGCACAGGCTCCGGACGTGCAGGCTCAGCGGCCATGGCTCACGGGCCCAGCCGCTTCGTGGCATGTGGGATCTTCCCGGACCGGGGCACGAACCCGCATCCCCTGCATCGGCAGGCGGACTCTCAACCACTGCGCCACCAGGGAAGCCCTGATTATTACCTTTTGGTGATATCATGTTTCCTTGATTCTTCATGTTCCTTGGAGTTTTTGTGTCACTGCTTTCACACATGAAGTAGCAGACACTTCCTCAAAACTTTGCGAATTGCCTTCAGGTGGGAAATATTGTTCATATGTCCTGTTATATCGGGGGTTTTCTCTGACCTTGTGTGGATATACCTGCTCCATGCTTCTTGCTCCCTCTTGTGGCATAATTATTCTTTTATGTCTTGTCTGGTCTTACAGCTCACCAGGATGTCTGCTAGAAACCTCTCTTTTGTTTTTCAGAAGGTAGCACTACAGTTCAAGTTTTTGGTTTCTCCCTTTCACATAGACCCTGGTCAGATGTTTTGAGAGCACTTCTTTTATTGGAGCTTGCTCTTGCCACTGAACTCAGGAGCACATATAAGGAGCTGGCCGGAGAGTGGGGGGAGGTGTGAGTCTTGCACTCTGGGCATTGGGGGTGACTGTGGGACTGGTGAGGGGATCATCGGGTGAGGGTTTCCCAGAAGCTCACGGATGGACTTTCCACTGAAGTCTTGAATACAGTCATCAGGAACTATATCCCTTTAATATTGATATTCTTACCTGCTTCTTTCCTGATTTCTTCCCTTCCCCCTTCCCCCAGTCATGGAGGTCCCAGCCTCAAATTTGTTTTGTTTTGTTTTGCTCCAGTAGCATGCTGGAATCTCCCCTCAGCAAGGCTGGAGTTATACAAATTCTGTTTTGTCCTTGGGTGCCTGCTCAAGTCTGTACTCTTCAGGTTTTCCCCAGCCCAACCATGGCCAAGAGGGATTGGGGCAGGTTCACCGGTCCTGCTGATTCCACAGCTCATACAATGGTCTTTCTGCCTATTACTGATGCACAGGTGGATGAGACTCCTCCCAGGTCCCTTGGCATATCTGGATCCCAGAACTCTAACAGAGGGACTTTTGTTCATGGATGGATGCCTAACTAGTTGTTTAAAAGGGGGGACAAAAAGGAATATCTTATGCCACTATGATGCTGACATCACTTGTCCTTGTTATATTCAGAGTTGAGCTCAGTCTCTCTCCCCTATTCCAATAATCTTGACCCCTATTGCAATAGTCTTGAATAAAGTCTTTCTTACCATTTTTGACAAGTGCCAGAATAATTTCTTTTTAATAGTATCTCTCTTCCAACATCTTGCTTGCCTTGTTCCCATTTTTTTATGCTATTGTAAATTGAACTTTTCTCTTTTTTTCTTGGATTTTTCATTGCTCATGTATAGAAATACAGTTGGTTTTTGTATTTTGATCTTGTACAATCTTGTTGAACTCATTTAATAGTTCCTTATGATTTTATGTATATAGGATCATACCATCTGAAAGTAGAGTTTTAATTCCTCCTTTCCAATCTGGATAACTTTCATTTCTTTCTCCTGCCTAATTGCCCTGGCTAGAACCTCCGGTACAGTGTTGAATGAAAGTAGCAAGAGTGGACATCCTTGTCTTATTCCTGATCTTAGGAAGACTTTCACAGTTACGTATGATGTTAGCTGTGGTTCTTTCATAGGTGCCATTTGTCAGGTTCAGGAAGTTCCCTTCTATTTCTTGTTTGTTGAGTTATCATGTAAAGGTGTTGGTTTTTGTCAAGTCCTTTTTTGTTTCTATTGAAATGATCATATTGGTTTTTGTCCTTTATTTTATTAAAACATTACAATAATTGACTTTTGAATACTAAATCAACCTTGCATTTCTGAAACAAATGCCACTTCATCATGGTGTATAATCCTTTTTATATATTGCTGGATTCATTTTGCCAGTACTTTACTGAGGACTTCTTATGTCTTTATTCATAAGAGATATTGATCTATTATTTTCTTGTGATACCTTTATCTGGTTTTGATACCAGAGTAATACTGACCTTATAGGATGAGTTGCAAGTATTCCTTTCTCTTCTATTTTTAAAAGAATTTGTAAAAAATTGGTATTAATTCTTCTTGAAATGTTTGGTAGAATTCACCCTTGAAGCCATCTGTGCTTGTGCTTTCCTTTCTGCAAAGTTTAAAAATTACTGATTCAATCTCTTTATTTGTTGTAGCTCTATTCAGATATTCTGTTTCTTCTTGAGTCTGTTTTGGTGGTTTGTGTCTTTCTAGGAATTTATCCATTTCATTTATCTAATATGTTGACATACTCTTGTTCATAGTTCTCTTAGGATCCCTTTCATTTCTATGAATTTTATAGTTATTATTTTAGTAATTTGAGTATTCTCTCTTTTTTTGGTCTGTTTATGCAAATATTTGTCAATTTTGTTGATCTTTTCAAACCTACTTTTGGTTTCATTGATTTTCTCTATTTTTCTTTTATGATCTATATATTTTTTCTGCTCTAATGTTTATTATCTACTTCCCTCTGTTAGCTTTGGATTTAGTTTGCTCTTCTTTTTCCAGTTCCTTAAGATAGAACAATAGGTTATTAATTTGGGATCTTTTGTCTTAGTCAACTTAGAGTACTATAAAAAATTACTATAGACTGGGTGGCTTAAACAACAGAAATTGATATTCTCACGGTTCTGGAGGCTGGAATTCTAAGGTCAGGGTGCCCGTATGGTTGGGCTCTGATGGGAACTCTCTTCCCAGCTTGCAGATGGTGCCTTATCACTGTGTCCTCACATGGCTGGAAGTAAGACAGGGAGCAAGCTCTCTGGTGTTTCTTCTTATAAGGCCACTAATCCCATCATAAGCCTTCATGGCCTCATCTAAATCTAATGATCTCCCAAAGGCCCCATCTCCAAGTACTATCACATTAGGGGCTAGGGCTTCAATATATGAATTTGTGGGGACTCAATTCAGTCTATAACATTTTTCTTCTCTGTAATGTAGGTGTTTGCTGCTATAAATTTCCTTCTATTCACTGCTTTTACTTAATCCCATAAGTTTTCCTTGTTATTGATTTCTAATTTCATTTCATTGTTGAGTGAAGCAGCTGAGCTCCCCCTCCCCCAAGCAAGTTTCTAATTTCTGCTCTTTCTCCTGTGTATGGATCACACTTTCCTGTTTCTTTTCATATCATAACTTTTTTTGAAAATTGGACATTTTCAATAATGTAGCAACTCTGGGTACTGATTCCCAACCCCTAGGGTGTATTGTTTGCTGGTTTATTTGTTTAGTGACTTGGCTGCACTTTTTCTTTGAAGTCTATTTCTCCCACAGTGTGCAGCCTCTAATGTCACCTCTCAGAGGGAAGAGCCTTGGGCATGCACACAGTCACCCTGGAATGACACAGCTTTCTTGTTTCTTTTCCTAATCTCCCTATTAAGCCTGCCTCTGTGGCACCTCACCCAGCTGTTAGCCTCCACTAATTGCAGACTAATTGTTCCATTTTTATTTTTCTGACAGTTTCCCATACATAAAGTCCCCCAGTGATCTAATTAGATTTGGGTTCCCTTGTGTTTGAGGCCAGTCTTAGGTATTTGTTCGGACCTCAGGAGGGTTCTTCTTAGCTGACTCTTCCCCCAGGTACTCTCTGTTAAACTTCTAGCTGTCACATGGTTTAGCTTGTTATTCTCATGAAGCTCCCAGCTTCCTGTAACTGCTCATCTCTCAAATCTCCATTGTTTTTGACAGCACCCTTAGGCTTGAACTTCTCCATACTCTGTTCCAAATAAAGTCTGTTCTCTTAGGAAAGCTCTCTGTTCTTAAGTCCTGCCTTTCCCCCTGGGAACAATCTATGAACCACTGTTCTGGAGCTATGCATAGGGACAGTGGACTGCTTCTCTTGGAGTGACACCCTTGCCCTACCAGTGGAGTGCTGGGTAACCCTGGCTTTCTTGGCTTGCCTCTCCCAGTATGGAACCTCTACTCTATGAGTTACGTCAGGGCAGGGGCACTCAGAGCCCACTATTCTTGGCCTCCACCTGCGGTAGAGCTTCTGCCCTGTGCATGGGGACTAGGTAGATGGAGGAAGCCTCACACCTACCAGTCATGCCATGCTAGAATAGAGCTTCTGCCTTATGGACCTGGGGATGGGGTGAGGTAGGAGGAGAAATGCTGATGAGTTGCTCCTCCTGGGGGCAAAGCATAGCCTTTGAATGGGACCTGAGGGGAAAGAGCACTCCCAGGCTTTATTTGCCAGGAGTAGAGCTTCCATCTCACTGAACTGAAGCATGGAGTAGATCATGTCTCAAATACCATAGACTCTCACTTTTCTTACTAAGAATTCATTGATTTTCTTGTGTAAATGTTTCTTCATTTGCTGTATGCCCTTAGAACATTCACAGTTTTCAGAGACTTTAACTTGTTTTTGTTTGTTTTTATAATTTTTACCAGTTATGGTGGTTTTATTGGAGAGAGGCTCTGTGGAGCTCCTCACACTGCAATTCTGGAAATGTCCAACTCTCATTTATTTTGAAGGTTCTTTTTTGGTTTTTACTCTCAGATCATACCCTTAATTCAGGTGTTTGCAAACTACAGCCCTTGGATCAAATCTGGCCTCTTTTTCTAAATAAAGTTTCATTGGAACACAGTCATGCCCATTCGTTTATGTATTGTTTATGGCTGACAGAGTTCAGTAATTGCAATTGAGACCATTTGGCCCACAAAGCCTAAAATATTTAGTGTCTGGCCCTTTACAAAAAAACTGACAACACCTACTTTAGTTGATAAGCTTTACTAAAGTCTTTCATTACTTAAAGATATAAGTGCTTCCATAGTAAATATGAGTCGTCAAGAATACCAACAATAATTAAAATCAGATTTGGCTTAAAGGCAAAATTAGTAGATTTGTAATATAAACATGATATTTTTTGTTTTTCCAACATTTTCAGATCTGGTAGCTCAGCGAGGCGAAAGATTGGAATTATTGATAGATAAAACAGAAAATCTCGTGGATTCGGTAAGTATGGGGTATGGTAATATTTTTCCAGGATGTAAACTAGAGAAACCGTGGTTGATGGCTAATATAATAGGGAAATGTCTTAAATTCAGTACTTTAGTGGGTTTTTTTTTCCATTCTAACCCCCATTATGTGGCTACGTTGTGATCATGAGGATATCAATGAGGCATAGAAAAAAGCCACAACCCATTAATAGCCATTAAGGAAGCTTTCATTTGGAAAACATACTCAATATAAAGAAACAATTTTTTAAAGCTTTGGATTGATGCCTACATAATTTAGCACCTTAGCTACATATACCAGTCTGTTCTCTGTATATTCGTAAAACACAAAACAAAAGTGCGGGCCAGTTGTGACCCATTGTGGATCCTAAAAATCAGACAGTTCAGTCACTTTCTTGCTTACCGTGACAGCTTGAGCTTTTTTTGTATTAAGCAAGAGGCAGAGATTGATAGGGAAGGATGTGTCCCTGTAACCTACTTATGCTACAATTATGTGTGTCTCTGCATTTTCCATCTGGTTGGTGGATGAGAGTTTTCAGGGAAGATGATACATATACAGTGAATAGAAGGAGGGCAGAGATCAGTTACAGTTTGGGTCTATACAATTACAAATTTACATGAAGAGTAGAAATTTACCCCTTGAAACAGATATCAGTGAGTGATCTTGTTCATTCTTACTGACAGGTAGATTGTAGTGGTTAAGAGCACAAGCTCTAGAGTCTGGTTGCCTGGGATTGAATCCCAGCTCTGTCACTCACTAGTTGTGTGACCTTAGGCAAGTTACTTAAACTCTCTATGCCTCAGTCGTCATCATCTGGAAAATGAAGATGAATCTTTTTCATAGTGTTTTGAGGGTTAAAGCACACAATGCATGCAAAATCCCTAACACAGTGTCTGATACATAGTAAGAGCTATTTAAAGGTTTATTGTTATTGTTAGTTTTACAGAGACATCTATTAACGGTAGGTCTTAGGAGGATAATAGTTTTTTCACCAAAGTACATGGAAATTAGAGGAAGGGTGGCACCATACAGGAAGTTAAGACACCAGGGTTCTATAATGGCTCACTTTGTAACCCGTTGCTTGGGGACAAAGAGAGACAGGTGTCTGATTGTAAATCTGATGACAAGTTTTTTTGTACTTCCAGTCTATCTCTTAGGTATCCTCAGTCCCTGAAGATGACCTTATTTAGCTGGAGTGGCCTGTGTTTGACCAGTACCAGTATAGTCTGCACTTTCCAAAAAAAGCTTTCTTAATTTTGTTGACTACGTCACCCAGATTAACAAAAGGTACTCATTAACTGCTGCCTCTTTTTATGGAGGAATAACGAATACAATAAAGTGCAGCAAATGTACTACTTTTAATAAGTGTGCAGCTCAGTTATTTTTTTACATATGTTTATACCCATGTAACCACCACCTAGGTCAAGATATAAAACACTATCAGCACCTCAGAAGGCAGCCTCAAGCCCCTTCCAGTTAATAATCCCCAACAGAAGTAACTTTTCTGACTTATATCACCCTAGATAATGTTTTTCCCGTTCTTAAAATGTATAGAAAAATGGAAACGTATGTTATATATTTGCATCTGTCCCCTTTCACTCACCAGTATGCCTATGAGATTCATCCATGTTGTTGAATGTAGTAATAATTTATTATTTTTTATTGTTTTGTACTACATATTCCATTGTATAAGTCTACCTACCACTATTTATCCATCCTCCTCTGTGGGGCTTTAATTCTGGATTCTCTATTTTGTTACATTGTTCTCTTTGTCTATCTTTATGCCAGTACCACACTGTATTGCTAACTGTAGCTTTATAGAATTCCCTAAGTCCTTCACTCTGTTCTTCACCAGGACTGTCTTCACCATTTTAGGTCCTTTGCATTTCCGTTTGTGTTTCAGAATAAGCTTGTTATTTTCCATCCTTAAAAAAAATTTGTATCTTTGATTGTGATTGCATTTAACTGATAGGTCAACTTAAGGAGAATTGGTAATCTTGACAGCATTGAGTCTTCCTATCCATAAACTTGGCATATGTCTGCTTTTGCATAGGATTTCTTTAATTTTTCTCACCAGTGCTTTTTAGTTTTTGGTGTACAAGTCTTGCACATATTTTGTGAAATATACCTTTGAGAATTTCATGCTTTTGCATTCTATTTTAAATTTTGTTTTCCAATATTTATTGCTAATTATATAGAAATGAAATTAATTTTTGTACATTGACCTGGTTTGTATCCTTCAACTTTCCAAAATTCACTTATTAGTTCTATGAGCTTATTTGTAGGTGCTTACATTTTATTTCTTTTCCTTGTATTATTGCACTGGCTAGAACCTTCTACACAATAGTGAAGACAAGTTGTGACTGGACATTCTTGAATGAAGCACATCTTATGGGGAAAAATTCAGTATTTTCACAATTATGTTGTTAGCTGTAGATTTTTTAATAGGTACCCTTTATCAGGTGAAAGACGTTCCTTCAATTCCTCATTTCAGAGTTTTATTCATGAATTTTATCAAATATTTTTTCTCTATATATTGAGAAGATTATATGGTTTTTCTCCTTTAATCAGTTAATATGACTGAACCTAACTTACTAAACTAATATTTATTTCTGAATGTTAAACTAACCTTGCATTCCTGCAAGATCATGATACAGTATCCTTTTTATCTAATACCTTATTGGATTTGCTATTGATTTATTCAGAAATTTTGTATCTGTGTTCTTGAGGGATGTTAGTCTATAATTTATTTTTCTTTGTGGGCTTTGGTATCAGGGATATACTGGCCCCATCAAACAGGTTGGGAAGTGTTACCTCTCTCTCTCTATCCTCCAAAAGAGTTTAGGTAGTATCGATATTGCTCCTTTGCTCTTTGGAAGGATTCACCAGTGAAGCAGTCTCAGCCTGGAGTTTTCTTTGTGGGAAGGTTTTAAATCTACCATTTTACTATTTGTTTCCTTTTTTTTTTTTTTTAACCATCTGTTCTTTGTTCCCTTCACTCTCTTTTTCTGCCTTCTGTTCCATTAATGAGTACGTCTTAAATTCCATTTTTATTCTGTTTTGTTATTTTGTGATTGCTTTAAGGTTTACAGTATAAGGCTTTAACTTATCATAGTCTACCTCCAAGTGGTATTAACCCACTTCACAAATAGTATGAGAACCTTATAATAGTATACCTCCAATTTTTACCTGGCCTTGGTGCTATTTTTGTCATACTTTTATACACACATATAACCTTCAAAAGAGATTTAAATAAGAAGAAAAACATCTTTTCTATTTATCCATATAGTTAATATTTCTCGTAACTCTTCATTCTTTTGTGTGGATCCAGATTTCCATCTGGTGACATTTTCTTTCTGCCTGTAGGATGTCTTTTAAAATTTCTTGTAGTGTAGGTCTGCTAGTAATGAATTCTTTCAGTACTTGTATATCAGAAAAGTCTTTATTTCACTTCCTTTTCTTAAAGATATTTTCACAGAATAGAATTCTATATTATTTTTTTCTTTCAATATTTGAAAGATGTTTCATCACTGTTTTTTATATTGTTTCTGACAAAAATTCCACTGTTGTTTTTACATATATAATTTGTCTTTTTTTCCTCTGGGTGCTTATAAGATTTTTCTATCATTGGTTTTAAGAAATTTGATTATAATATACTTTGGTGTAGTTTTCTTTATGTTTCTTCAGCTCTGGGTTTGTTGAGCTGTGGGTTTGTAGTTTTTATCAAATTATGAAAACAGCTGTTATTTCTTCAAATATTTTTCTGTCCTTCTTTCCTTCCAGGACTCCAGTTATGTGTACATTAAAGCACTTGAAGTTGTCCCACAACTCACTGATGCTCTGTTCGTTTTTTTCAGTCTTTTTTCTTTCTGTGTTTCATTTAGGATAGTTTCTATTACAGTGTCTTCAAGTTTACTTATCTTTTTATGCTGCAGTTTGTAATCTGTTACTCCCATTTTGTGTATTTTTCATGTCTACAAGTTTGATTTTGATCTTTTTTATGTCTTTCGTGTGTCTCCTTAACATTTGCATGCTTTCCTCTACATTGCTTAATATATAAAGTATATTTATAATTGAAATGTTTATTCCACTTACATGTAATATAAATATTGATAGAGTTGAGTTTAAGTAAGCTATGTTGCTCTTTGGTTTTTATTTGCTCTGTCCTCTTTGTTCCTCTTTTTTATTTTGTTTATTCAAATGTTTAAAAAATTGTTTCATTTTATCACCTCTTGGTTTTTCTAACAACCTTATTTAATTATTTATTTATTGATCAATAAATCACAGACCATACAGTTGACCCATTTAAAGGTACAGTTCAATGGGTTTTGGCATATTACATTATAATTTTTAATTGTGGTGAAATATATACATATAATAAATTTGCCATTTTAACCATTTTAGTGTATAATTCAGTGACATTAATTACATTCACAGTGTTGTGCAGCCATCATCACTATCTATGTCCAAAACTTTGTCATTATGCCAAACAAATTCTGTAACTGTTAACCAATAAGTTCCCATTCCCACTCCCCCCAGCCCCTGGTAACCTCTTATCTACTTTTTGTCTCTATGAATTTGCCTATTCTGGAGATCTGTCATTGGAATCCTACAATAATTCGTCCTTTTGTGTCTGGCTTATTTCACTTTGCATCATATTTTCAAGTTTCATCCATGTTGTAGCATGTGTCAGGACTTCATTTCTTTTTATGGCTGAATAATATTCCATTATAGGGATATACCACATTTTATTTATCCATTCATCTGTTGATGGACCGCTGAGTTATTTCCATCTTTGGGCGCTTGTGAATAATTCTGCTATGAACATTGGCATACAAGTATCCATTCAAGTCCCTGCTTTTAGTTCCTTTGGGTATTTACCTAGGAGTGGAATTACTGGGTCATATGGTAATCCTATGTTTAGCTTTTTGAGGGACTACCAAACATTTTTTCATAACTGCCACACCATTTTACATTCCCAACATGTGCAAGTATACCAGTTTTTCCACATCTTCACCAGCACTTGTTATTTTCCATATTTTTCTTATAGCCATCCTGGTGGGTATGAAGTGGTATGTCATTGTGGTTTTGATTTTCATTTCCCTAAGGACTAATGATGTTGATCATCTTTCCGTGTGCTTATTGACAATTTGTATATCTTCTTGGGAGAAATTATTCAAGTCCTTTGCCCATTTTTAGTGCATCATCAGCTGCTAGTGAAACCATCTACATGAAGTGGAGAGGCCATCAGGCTGGTCAGCTTGCCCTTGTCATTCTCACAGGAGTTTTTATATCTTTTTGTTCTTTTGTACTTACATCCACCCCCACCCATCCCCAAGGGAAGCTTTGGTAAGGTGTAACAATTGTTCTTTATAGTTGAACTGGTTTTAAACAGGTGATATATCAGTGTTCAAATACTGACCTGAGGATTGTGGAGAAATCTTCACCCCAACCTGTTGAATCACATAACTGTATTTAGGTTTATTAGTTTCATTGCTCACTACTTTTTCTTATTCATATTATCTTCCTCCTTCTTGGAGTCTTTATTGTGACTTAGTTTGTGAGTAATTGAAAAGAGTTTGGGCAACTGAGAAGTTCACCAACTATGTACAATTTAGAGGGCACAGTCCCCAAGCCTCCCTCAATTCTGACACCAGCTGCAAGTTTGTTCATTCCCCAAACCATTCTAAGGTTTGATAACTCACTAGAAGGACTCACAGAACTCTATGAAAGCTATTATAGTTATGGTTTTTTACAGGCAAAGGTTACAGATTAAGCTCAGCCAAAAGAAGCAGCACATTGGGTGGAGTTGGAGAGGTAACAAACCCACAGTTTCTGTTGTTCTCTCCCCATGGGCTCATTACTCTCCCAGCACAGATGTGTGATGACATTGTCAACAACGAATTAATCAGTCCATCTAAGAAAGAAATGGAAAATTTTATTTGAGCCAAATTTGAGAATTATAACCAGGGAAGAGAATCTCAGAAAGCTCAGAGAACTGTTCCGCCTGTTAGGAGTCAAGTCACAGTTCTATAAGGCTTTTGAGACAGAGGACTGGACATTAAATGACATATTATTGACACTTACACAATCCAGATCTAAGTGTCACTGTGACCCCTTACAAGATCAAGAAGGAATGTTATCTTTAAGTTGTCTTGTTGGTGCTGGGAGAATGTTGGTCTTTATGGTTGAGCAGGAGTTTTTGCTGATGGGGAAGGTTTGGTCAATGCATAATGCAGATACACAGTGCACATTGTGGGGAGAGAGGAGGCCAAAGGGCAGAGAAAAATTTTTATGTTTAAATTTTTGTCTTGCCATAAAATATGAATTTTATTTCACAAAATACACAGAGCATTGTACAACAAGGAAGCTTGCCCAAGCTTCATTGTTCAGTTTTGTTGTTGTTTTTATTGAAGTATAGTTGATTTACAATGTTGCATTAGTTTCTGGTGTACAGTAAAGTGATTCAGTTATACATACATATATATATATATATATATATATATGTATGTATGTATTCTTTTTCACATTCTTTTCCCTTATGGCTTATTATAGGATACTGAACATAGTTCCCTGTGCTATACAGTAGGACCTTGTTATTTCATTTTTCAGTTTTTATTGTGGTTTCATTACGTAAGCATGATTGACTGATTGCCTACTTGCTTAATCTGAGTCTCCAGTCTCTAGCTCCTCTAGAGACCCAGAGCCCCTATCCTAAATCATATAGTTGGGCTTTCTAGAGTGAGTAGTCCCTGCACTAAATCACATTGTTACTATTTGGCTAGCCCATGGCCCCCAGAAAAGAAAAGGTTACCTCCCAGGAGCTGAGAGCAAAGGTCAGATCCCTGTTTGGGCAAGGTTAAATTCTTTATGATACAGTACACTTAGTAGGCATTTGAGTTGTTTCCAGCCTTGAGATTAGACAAATAGTGCAGTTAGAAACATTTTTGTATATGTCTTTAGATGAACTTATACATATATCTCTGTTGGGTATATACCTAGGAGTGGAATTGCTGGGCTCTTAGGGATTTTTGTTTGTTTGTTTGTTTTAAACTGCTTGTGTCCTGGTGGGAATCGTTCAGTAGATATTGAGAAATTGATGCTGCAACAGAAAATGGATAACTGAAGGAGTGAAGTTCTTTGGGTTTGGGCCCTCATACGAGTAAATACATATCTTCCTATGGAAATTGAACAGGTTCTTATGGTTCACAATGCCAGGATTATACTGGGCAGAATAGGCAAATGTGTTTGCAGCCAACTAGCTCATGCTTTCTTATTGGAAGCATGAAGATGAAAAGGCTTTTCTGCTATCACGAAGAACTACTTCTAGTGCTCAACATCACATGCATTGCTGTGGTGGAGAAGAAAAAGGAGGGAATCCTTTCCAGTGGGCTCATACTGCTTACCATATATGTGGCAGAGTCCTGCTTTGTGGAACTAGTGATTATGAATGGCCAGTCTCTACCTGTGGAGAGGGAAGGGGTAAAAACCATTGAAACAGAATTTAATGAAAGTAAAAGTTTTGCAGGTATTATTGCAAATCAATCATGTAGTCAATGCCAGGGATCAAACAATTCATGCTTTTTTTTTTCTAGTCTGTCACCTTCAAAACAACCAGCAGAAATCTTGCCCGAGCCATGTGTATGAAGAATCTCAAGCTCACTATCATCATCATCATCATATCAGTCGTAAGTTTTTGTCCTTTTAATATATGGTTTTATTTTTCAATCTCTAAGAAATTAGGTGCTGGAATTCTTTCTCAGTGATTAGCACTCTGAAAAAAATTGATTAGCACTCTGAAATGAGCTACGTATAAATTTTAATGGTGAAACACATGACCAGGGATTAGCTTTCCTATGAAGTTACTGTGTCATAGCGTCCCTACTTAAACCCTGTTTCCCTACTGAGAATTCTTATATGTAAGTCGTCGTTTAAGGCATTCCAGATATTCCTGATTATTTAATGGTTTTCTCACTGCTGAAATGGGACTCTTTTAAACTTACATTTTCTAATTGAGTGAATATTTTCTAATTATATTTCTGTTTTCTAGTTAATTCTGTTTTCTATTCCTTTGTTTCTGTTTTCTCTTTTCTAATTCATCTGTTTTGTTTCTGGCAACCTTGCGTAATTTTTAGTAGTTGTAATAGTTTGTCAGTTGATTCTTCTGTGTGCTGTAGATCAGGAGTCAGCAAACTTTCTGTGAGGTCCAAATAGCAAATATTTTAGGCCTTGCAGTTCACATACAGTCTCTGTCACATATTATTTTTTTAAACAACTGTTGAAAAATATAAAAACCATTCTTAGCTCACAGGCAATGGCTGTAGTTTGTTGACTCCTGCTATAGATAAATTATGATACTGTCTATTAATAATCTTAACCTCATCATTTATTTATACACACACACACACACATTTCATTTACAAGCAGTGCTGAATAATTGTGGTATCAGTAGGAATCTTTATTTAATTCCTGGTTTTAATTGGAATGCTTCTAATATTTATGAGTGATATTTAATATGAATTCTTGTTACTTTTATTGTGAAGTTAAAGAACATTTTATTTCTAGAGTGCTAAAAGTTTTTTTATCAGGAATAGGCATTTCATTTTAAGAAATGGTATTTCTCTACCCAATGAATTGATAATATAACAACATTTAATAATATATTGAATGACATTAATGAAAGCACTAATAATTAACTATTCTTTCATTTCTGGGATAAGTACTAAGAGGTCATTATGTAGTATTCCTTTTTTTTTTTTTTTTTTTTGTGGTATGCGGGCCTCTCACTGTTGTGGCCTCTCCCGTTGCGGAGCACAGGCTCCAGACGCGCAGGCTCAGCGGCCATGGCCCATGGGCCCAGCCGCTCCGCGGCATGTGGGATCTTCCCGGACCGGGGCACAAACCCGTGTCCCCTGCATCGGCAGGCGGACTCTCAACCACTGCGCCACCAGGGAAGCCTTTAGTATTCTTTTAATGCATGGTGAGTTCAGTTTCCTAATACTTACTTACTTACCCTTGTCTATAAATATAAAGTAGTCTAGGGACTTCCCTGGTGGTCTAGTGGTTAAGACTTTGCCTTCCAATGCAGCTGGTGCAGGTTCAATCCCTGGTTGGGGAGCTAAGATCCCACATGCCTCGTGGCCAAAAAATCCAAAACACAAAATGGAAGCAACATTGTAACAAATTCAATAAAGACTTTAAAAATGGTCCACATCAATATAAACAAAAAAAAATGTAGTCTGTATGCTGTCCTCCTTTTGGAACCCCAATATAAAAAGATATTGGACCTCTTTGAACTATCCTGCATGTCTGGTAACCTTTTTAATATGTTTAAACTCCTTTTTGCAACACATTCTGGGTGAATCATTCAGCTCACTCTTCCAGCTCTGTTCATTCTGCTATCCAGTTCTTCTTTTTAAAAATTAATTTTTAAATGTTTATTTTTTAAAGCCATGCTTTAAATTTCTAAGAACTTTTATTATTCTTATTTTAACATTATTTTTTCATAGAAGTTGTACTTGTTAACAAATATACTCTCTCCTTGAATTTGTCTGGATATATATTCAGAGATATATCATAGGGAATTAGTTTCTGCAATGGCAAGAGCTGGCTAGGCAAGTCCAAAATCCACAGAGCAGGCTGTCAGGAAGGGCTGGCTGGACCTGAGGGGCAGGAGCAAACCTGTATATACAGGCAGAATATCTTCTTCAAGGAAACCTTGGCTCCACTCTTAAGGCCTTTTAACTGCTTGGATCAGGCTTATTCAGATTATGTAGGATAATCTGCCTTACTTAAAGTCAACTGATTTATGAGCTTTAATCACATCTACAAAATACAGCAACACCTTGATTAGTGTTTGATTGGATACCAGTGCACTGTAGCCTCCCCAAGTTGACACACAAAACTGACCTCACAGAAATGTAGTTAGTTATGTTTATACGTAATGGGTATATTTTTAAAATTTTATTTCTAATATGGTTAAGTGTTGATAGTTATAACCCACCTCTAAACAAGAGGTCTTTGGAGTCCTCACTAATTTTTAAGAGTGTAAAGAAGTCCTGAACCAAAAGCTCGAGCGCTGCTGCTCTAAGGAGTGGGGGAGGGATGCTTTGCTTTGGGGGTAGTTTGTGTCTGGGCAAAGCAGCATTTCCTCCTCATCCTTTTTTCATTTACAGATGCCCAAAGTTAACTCCTAGCAGATATCTCTGACTCAGCTCCACTTCTCCTTGACCCCTATTGAAGGTCTTCCACCTTAGACAGCTGGACTTGCCTAACAGAGAAGGGCAGCTATAGCTCTATTAATGTTGTAATGGAAATTGTGCCTTGATTGTTCCCTTGTTCAGGATCCTCAGGTGGCACATTCTTGGCTTCTCAGCTTAGCTTCTTCCTCCTTCTTTGGTCTAGGAATTTAGATTGATTTATAAAGGTAGATTATTATTAAATTCAGATTATATTTACTGATTACTTATTACATGCAGAGTACTGTGCCAACTTGCCAACCCTTTATCAGAAGGTGTTGTCACCTAACGTATTGTACTTCAGCTTTAAAAATCCTTATATTTTAGCTGTGGCAAAGAGTCAACTTTCTATCAAATTGGAATATCTGTGTTTATGTGAATATGTTGAGTAGTTTAGCCTATTTATTAATAACCAGAATTTTCTATAACCCCTACCCCCAACATTTGTAGAGAAGTAAGGAAAAACACTTTGCTGACTTTAGGTAGGGAGCATGTAATTCATAATGTATTTTTTTCTAAGTGTGTGAGTAATGAAATCAGTCACTTAAAGATCTTAGAAAGTTGCAATTTAAATCAGAACAAAATGACTGATTTAATGCGAACCTAAATTTTACAATGAATCTATTTTTGGAATGTAGTAATCTGAGCAAGCATATGCCATGCAGAATATCATAATTTAAAATTATAATACCATAATTAAAAAGCTAATACCTCTTTTTTGTTTTTTCAATTTTTAAAGCTTTTTAAAATTGAGATACTTAAAGGAAAATGCACATATCTTAAGCATACAGTTCAATGACAGATTCACACATTTGTGTAACCCATACTTTTATCAAGATACAGAGTGTTTTCATCCCCAGAAAGATGGTTCATGTCCTTTCTCAGTCAACCCCCACCCCCAGCTGAGTGGCTACCATTGTTCTGATTTCTTTTGCTGTGGACTACTTTTGCCTCTTCTAGGACTTCACGTAACAGAATCATACAGTGTATCCTGTTTTTGAGTCCTAAAACGCTAGTACATCTTTATTAGGACTAGTATTTTTGCTGTGTTACTTATAATTGGGTAATTATAATTATCATTGTAATCCACTGAAAGGTTCATGGCAACATTTTTGCTCATAGGTGTTATAGATGTAGAGTCTACTCATGCTTTTTAATATTTTTAATCATCCTGATAATGAAAAATTAATCCATGTGCAAAAACCTAAAAATATACTTAATTATAAAATCATACTTAAGGGAATCATGCTAATTTGTGATCTTTATGACAACGATGTTATCAGTAGAGTTGCTTATATAATTCCATTCTGCCTACTTCCCAGTGAAGAGAAACAACCCCACTGCTTTCCCTACCAGAAAAGAAAACAGTGGAATTCAAGTGGATGTGGGTTATATCAGAAAAGATCATTTTAATTCCACTTCTGTGTTTGAAAATACTTGATTAGTGTATTGTATTATTACACAACTCCTACTCTAATGGAACCAATATTTGTTCATCAGTCTTTATATATTATTTAGGAGCCTATGATGGATTCAAGAAAATAAAATTGCCTTCTCTGCCCCTCCCCAGGTATTCATCTATATTATTGTGTCACCACTCTGTGGTGGATTTACATGGCCGAGCTGTGTGAAGAAATAAAAAAGTTATCATTAACCAAGGATACGAGAGAACAAAGAGTTAAAAGCAATGCGTGTGATTCAAGCCTTTTAATACTGACAGATGGTGTCTGCCAGTCTCTTCAACCCTCTTCTTTCTCTTTTTTTAATATTCTTCTATGCCTCCAGATTTATCTTTGTCCTATCAACCAGTTTATTCCAGTGCACTTCAGACTGAACCATTTATTGCAGCAGTAGCCTTAAAAAGGCATTTTGTTTCTTTGGTTTGTTAACTAGTGTCATCTACTTATAGATACATTTTTGTTTATAACTGCACAAAGCTATCACCAAGGTAGAAACCACCTGTCTTATGAGCTGTCTACTGAAATTATGGATGACCTTTGTGCACACAAAAGTTTAAGAGACAGTATTGCTAACATCTCGTCTTAATGTCTTTTGATTTTGAAGGGTTTTAAGTGCTTGAAAATAAAATACATGGAAAATTGTTGTTATTTGGGGAATTGTAATTAATTGTTGGTGTTTCTAGGAGCCCAAGCAGGTAAAGTATTAAACATTTTATCTTAGTCAGATGGGGAACGTTTTGCTAGCCTGTTAGAAGCAAACAGAATTATCCTTGTCTGCCTATTATTAACTTTTAGGAAGAAAGTTCTGATCATTCACAAACCTCGCAGAGCTTGATAGCCTCTGTTTCCCCATTGCAGTTGATTTGAGAAGACGGTGGTTTAAATATTGTTGAAGGTTGTGGTTTTTTACATATTCCTTTTTCTTTGGTGGGTATTTAGGGCAATTGTGTAGATAATAGAATGGGTAGTGGAGGGAGTGGGGAGACACATTCCTCTGGCTCACCAAAGAAAAAAAAGAGAACCACAGTGGAAAAGCCCAAACTGAATATAGTCAGCAATCAACTCCAGGGTTTGGGTTTGACTGGTGTTGAATAGTAGTTTGAGCATCCTTTGTGGTTTAGTAAGTTCTTTAATCTGCCTAGTTTTGAAGAATTCTTTTGGGAAACTTGAGAGTAGACAGTATGATACATAGAAACAGTACAAGACATTTTAGCTAACATCCATGTAACTGCAGTGTGAAATAACTGGAGTGTAATCATACTGCTTTGGCTACTCTGGCATCTGTTAGCTAGTGTGTACTTTTGGTGTGTATCTGAAAGGACAGCATTTGCTGCTGTAGATCTAATTGCATTTATTTATCAATAAATGCCAGTAAATGGAAATTATATTACATTTGACTATTTTCCCAATGAAAGAACAAATTGGTCTGTAAAACCTAGTCACCTTTTTAGCCTAATCATGTGCCTTGAATATTTATGTGTCACATAATCTAGCACCTGCCACCTGTTCTTCCATCTATATACCTTTCAATTCATGCTGATTTGTTTATTTGACATATTTTCAACCCCTTGGGACTCTTTTCCTGGTGAACATGTATAGTGAAAATGTTTTTTCAGTCCTCTTTATCAACACTAATGCCTTTTAATTACATCAGCATTTCCTGTTGGAAAACACATTTGTTCCATGAAAACATTTGGCATTCCTTAATAATAATTTCCAAATGTCTTTAATCCAAAGAAAAAGACTTAAAGCTTATTTCCCTTTCTTATACACACCTGAATAAAAATGATGTGCATGTTTTAGGGATAAATTACTTAACCATCCCTTGATCTATTTATGTATAAGAATGCTTTTTAAAGCACATATCTTGTTTTAAATGATGCACAAACTGAAGGCATTAATAAAATTTAAGAGTAATACAATGAGTTGCTTGTTTTAGAGTTTCTTCCTGCAGTCTAATTTCTTCTGATGACATTTTGCCATAGTTTACAGAACAAAAGTATTTTACTTATGCTGAAAATACATTTAAAAGTGTGACCTGGAGCCTTACAGTAAAGAGCTATAGCACTGTCTCAGGTGTATAAAATTTCTTCAAAACCAAAAGACACAAAAGAAGTTAAAAAAGTATGTAAGGCATGCCAAAAACGATGAAAGATCATGAAATGACCACACAGCATCTACAGCCATCATCCTGAGACCATGGTTGAGACAGAACAGGAAAAGAACCCCAGGGATTGTAATCCAGTTCAACACAACTGACTGGTTCTGAAATAGATGGCTCAAAGGAAGGCATTTGAGGGTGAGAGAGAATAATTTGTTGGAGCAAAACAGGTTTAGGTAAAGAAAAAAAGAAATAAGAGTGGCAAAGATGAAATGTACAAAAACTGGGCCACAACGAAACAATAATCTGTCACTTTGGGCCTTTGAACCTAGGTAACTGAAGTCAAGAATGGTAGAATATGTTTCTGTACATGATAGAGCAACTCAAAAACAGCCCATTTAACTCTCCCCAGGCCTCATCCAGGTTTCAACTGAAGTGTGCATTCCCTAACCAGACAGAGGGGGAAAAAAGGCTATTTGGTTGTTATGAACAAAGAAAGAAGTGGTAAAAGCTAATTATTTCTCTTTACTTCAAACCCTTGGCCACAAGGTCAAATAGTGTCACAGTCCCTAAGTTTCCTTCAGAATAGATGGATATGGCTTCCATCAGATAATGATTCTTCCTTGCTTAACTCTGCTTTCCCAGCCTCAAGATAGATGAAGAAATTGGGTTGCTTCCCTGGATATCTTAATGAAATTGATATAACAACAGAAATAACAGCCCTAGACCCTCCTACAGTGTTTTACATTAGAAGCAGATCTGTTTCTGACTACTCCATCTTTTAAAAAATAATAAATGGGGTAGAGTGGTGGTGGTGGTGGTGGTTAACCTATGATTCAGTTTGAATTCAATGAGTAAAACAGAGCCAACACAAGTATTACTGAAACAAGGGGTTTAATACTGTCTTCAAGCTTATACAGGTGTATGACAAAGTAGGAAGATAAAGTCTGGAAGGGAGGTGCCAGGGGATCAGAGGAACAGTCCTAAGCATTTCCACTTAAAGTGCTAATGCTGTTGAACAGGTTGGAGCTTGTTGGAAAACCTGAGAATCCCTACACGTCTGTTTGCCAAAATAGGTGTGTGACAAGAGTTGTGTGGAAAAGAAGCCACAGGCTCAGTAAACCTGATGCCAAGTACCCAATTGTGTCCCCAGTTGGTCAGCAGGGCCAGTAGTCAAGAGGATGAGCTGGATGCAGAGTGGAGGAGATAGAGAAAAAGCTAGGGTATGTCAGGCACCTTAGCGTCTTCATGTCTGACTGCCCTGACCTTGAAAGAGTATTGGCCTCCACTTTCCTTCTGCTTTCCAAGTCTTACGTGAGTTCATTTCACTGGCAAAACAATTCTAAAAGCATATAGGGAAGGGAATTTTAATGAAATTCCCAGCTTCTAGCAAGAACAGTGGTGCCAGTCTAGCACAGTCAAGTTCTTCCTATATTCATTTTTAAGATCAACTGCTTCATCTTATGGAGAAAGACCATTTGGGAAGTTAAAGCATTCTTTTGGTCAAGGTACATTGTACAAAATTATTTTGGATGTGTGTTGTTTACTAAAACAAAACGTCTAAATTCAAAATATGTTGTGACTTGTTACATCTCTTCCAAAAAGAATAACTGTGAAAGAAAATTCATATGCACAGGTTGACACCCTGATTTACTTGTTTTTTATTTGCATTCCAATTTGAACCAGCATAAAGAAAAGTTTAAAAGTCTCATGCACAGAGAGAGAACATTAAATTCAGTAATACCCCTTACAGACTTCACTTCTGGCCAAGATAGAGTAACAGTGACTGTATTTACCCTCCCACCTGAAATAACCCAGTAAAGGACAAAATATTTGAAACAACTGTTTTTAAGACACTGGACTCCAGGCAATGAAGGGCAGTGATATTTCAAAGAGGTGAACCCAATTATTGCCCCAGCTTATTATGTTGAGAGAGTATCCAGGCTACAATGGAGTGAGAAGGAACCCAGGAAGAGCCTGGAAGATTCCCTAAGTTGACACATGACAGATACCCAGAGATGTTTGCAGGGCAGGGCATGGTACTAAAAATGAGACAGTTGCAGAGAGAGGACTCTAGAGATCTGAGGAAACTACCCAATGGCAGGGAAAGAACCACCCAAAGACTAGAAGGAAGAATATCCTACACCCACACAGGGCTAGGAATAACCCTACAGACAGGAGATAGACAGGAAAACCTCATGAGTCACAGGGTATTGGGTAGAGTACTCAGAAGGGTCTTGCATAGACCAGGGTTTCTCAGTCTTGGCACTGTTGGCCTTTGGGGCCAGATGTTCTTTGAGGTTGTCCTGTGCATTGTGGGATGTTTAGCAGCATCCCTGACCTCAACCCACTGTATGCCAGGAGCACCCTCTCTCCAATTGTGACAACTAAGAATGTCCCAAATGTTCCTGCAAAGTTGGGGTGGGGAACAAAATCAACCTTGGTTAAGAACCACTGGCCTAGGGCTTCCCTGGTGGCGCAGTGGTTGAGAGTCCGCCCGCTGATGCAGGGGACACGGGTTCGTGCCCCGGTCTGGGAAGATCCCACATGCCACGGAGCGGCTGGGCCTGTGAGCCATGGCCGCTGAGCCTGTGTGTCCGGAGCCTGTGCTCTGCAATGGGAGAGGCCACAACAGTGAGAGGCCCGCGTAACGCAAAAAAAAAAAAAAAGAAAAAAGAACCACTGGCCTAGACTTAACAGTCTCACCCAGGATAATAAATCTTAAAATCCAGACCTTAGAAGCTGTTTCCAAGTAACTGTCCTAGAACAAAGCTTAAGGATATATTTGTGGGAATATAAACAAGGTAAAAGAGTGTTGGGCAGGGCAGCAAATAAAAAATGACCAGTCACACAAAGAAGCAGAAAATATGACCAATAATAAGGGAAAAGCCATTCAATTAAAATAAACGTGGAACTGATACAGATGTTAGAATTACCAAAGACATAAAAAGTTGTTAATATTATATTTCATATGTTCCAAAAAGTAAGTAAAGATATGGAATTTGAAAAGGCCCATTGAATTTTTAGAGATGAAGGCTAGGTTTTCTGAGATAAAAAATACACTGGATAGAATTAGTGACAGCATAGACGTTTCAGAAGAAAAGATTATTGACCTTGAAGACAGCAATACAAACTATCCAAATGAAACATACCAGTTAAATACATTGTTAAATGTCAAAATGAATTTTAAAAAAGGAAGAGTCAACTCTAAACGCCTATAAGAAACTCACTTTAAACATTAATGGGTTAAAGTAAAAACATGGAACAATATACATGCTGACACCAATCAAGAAAATTGGAATGGCTATTGTAATATCAGATGAAGTAGATTTCAGAGCAAAGAGTATCCAGGGATAAAGGAGTTTATGTGTCAATTCATCGGGGGTCGGGGTATAGGGATTAATATTGGGGGATAGGTTTGGGGTCACCTCTAACTGCAGCCCTATAATATGGGAAAAAAAATAAATACTAGAGGTTGGTTTGTACTTCAGATTCTTGCTTAGAAACTAACCCTAGTAAAGAATTGTGACTGGAGATACAGTGAGACATGAGAAATCAAAAGTATACCTTTATCAATTATATATTACTGCATAACTACAATCCCAAAAATGTGTGCCATTAGAAAATTACAAGTATTTTCCAGTGTTCATGTTTATGATCAGGTTAAGGACTCCATAGGGGTCAGGGTAAGGGTCAGAATCAGGGGCCAGGGGTAGTTGTCAGGAGTAGGGGTAGGGGTCAGGGTTAGGGGCAGTTCAGTTGCTCATCATTGTGCATAAATGGATAAAGCACAGATAAATACATGTTAAAGGTTACAATGTAGAGGCATGAATTTTAATTTTATTATTTGCTTTATGGTCTGCAAATACTTGCTACAGGTAAAACCTACACAACAATCCTGAGGAAAATGAACACTGGGTTTCTGATTAGCGATAACATTTCTGAAAGCCACTTTTTCTCTGATGGCTCCATGTGGCTTTTGAAGTAAATAAACTGAGCACACAAAGATCAACTTTGACCCACACACCAGTAAAACAAGCAACGCTGGTGAAAACTATAAAGAAAAAAAAAAAACCATTGCAGTCCTGGAAATTGACATAAGGGCAGTCAGCACATGAAAAAAAAACAGGAAAGTCTGCTACATCTTGGTAAGAACAGTGAGATTCTGTGGCACTTTAACCCTGACCCACTCCCTCTCTTCCCCTCCAAACTCAAGCTTGATGGAGTGAGGCTAGAAGATAGGTATCCCTCCTCTTCCAGCTCCAGTCAAGAGATATGGAATCTCCCCAGGAGTGTCAGGCTGCCAGCCCTTCTTATGTCCCCAGCTCCACATTACAGAGGCTCAATCCTAGGTCAGTGCAGCCAAGAATCAAGGCTCCCTTCCTCCACCTAGTACCCCTTCATAGGGCAGAGGCTCCACCTCAGGTGCAGCATGATGAAAATACTGGGGCTCCAATCTCCCTCACCCCAGGTCAATTGTAGAGTACAGATTCTGTGCCAAGGCAAACAGGCTGCCACTCCAGCTCAGCACCCTGTCAGAAAGCACAGGTATCACTTTGAGGGAAGTGGGTTCCTGTCCCTAGCTCCAGAGAAGTGCCTTAGATATTCCACCCAGGGAGAGAGGCAAGAGATAGAAGGCTCTAAAGCTGTCCCTAAAGGGACAGGCTATATATAGAACAGAGTGTGTGGGACGAAGCCTACGATGTAGATAATGGAGCAAAGCAATTGAGAGCAGACAGGAGATCAAGATGGAATAGAAGGACATGGAGGTCACCTCCTCCCACAAATGTATAAAAAATAGTTACATGTGGAATAATTCTCACA